ACTACTTTACTGCTTTTAGTTCTAGTTGTGAACCTTTATCCATCTTTTTAACCAAATTATGGATTAGAGGTGGGGGGTGTTGTATGCTACTTACACTTGGTTGATTGGAGTGGCCTAGAAATCCTGTAAGTAAACACATGGATACATTAAAAATTCTTGCTGACCACTTTCAAATCAGTCAGAAATCTGCCAGTATACCCAGTTCTATCTTTTTCCCATCCTCAATGGAGAGAATGCTGAGTTAGATGAAGCAATGGTATGTAAAGCAGTTTGTGTCCCAGATACAGTAATGCTAGTCTTTGTCAACAGTGATATCAGATTAGAAACCAAGTCCTGTGCTTCATACAGTGAAAAATGTGGGATCATGAGAATTGGTCCAGTAAATTTGGAGGAGGTTTGAGAAATTTAGAGAGATATTAATCATTAGTTGGGGCCTGTTTTCCATCATTATTTGGGTGTTTTATTCCTTATCCCAACTGATATGATATTATGTTTACTAATGAAGGCTTGATTTGAATTTTGTACTTTACTTTCATTTTCCAATACTTTTTGGGTGTTTTATTCCTTATCCCAACTGATATGATATTATGTTTACTAATGAAGGCTTGATTTGAATTTTGTACTTTACTTTCATTTTCCAATACTTTTTGGGTGTTTTATTCCTTATCCCAACTGATATGATATTATGTTTACTAATGAAGGCTTGATTTGAATTTTGTACTTTACTTTCATTTTCCAATACTTGCATATACTTTTTGTACCAAGAAGCTCCATACTCTATAGTCAATTATCCTAAGGGTCTGATACAAAATGTCATGAATTAAAAAATGACGCAATATGCTGTGACATCATGATGCAAACCCTGATTTTTGGTACTTGGGTTGTGATGTTGGACACAAGTACATAAGTCATGTGAGTAGCATTGGGATATCACAATGTGCATTTCATTACTTGCCTGCCCCCACCCCTGCTCCACCAGATGCCTATGACAGTTACCATGGCTCATGTAAGGAGATGGAAGAGATTAGAACATCATCTGATGCCGTTAAATTCTGGCTGGAATGGTTGAAACGTGAAACTGCCTCTTGGTTTCTAGCCCAGAGTGAAGGAAACCTTTCTTGCATTGCAAATGCTTTACTCTTGGGGAATTTTTTAGAGGCAGCAAAAAGACAGAGGAGTACAAGCCCATGTTTCCTGAAACCATACTTCAGTAATACAGAACTTAAACCATGCATCAGAATGAACTTTGAACTTTCCTTAACAGCTAGTGATGACGAACTGCAGATGACTCTGATGTATTGGTTGTTTGGTTTTTCTTTTATTCATTTGCAAATTGTCATTCTATTTTACTTATAAGGCAAGTTTCTCAATTACACTTTAATGATCAACATTTGGGGGATTAAACTCCAAATAGATTTGGAACCAAGTTCCAAATTTCTTAATCAACATCTGTATCAATTGTTTTGGTTGAGGCACATTCCTACTAAAATACAGAAAACAGTAACGGGGGAGGGGAGGATTAAATTCTAAGCAAGTTACTCTGCATTACCTTTGTCTGAATTAAATGAGACTTCCTTAGAAGCATGCTTGAGACTGCACATCTTCTAACTTTATCAAGTTTACTAGCGCAAAAGTTGATTTGCACTATACCACTTCCTTTACACCAAAGGAATAGTCTGGTTTCTAATATCTGTCTCCTTTTCCTCCAGGATCGTCCCACAGTGCTAGGTTGTTTTTATTTTCATGCTTGCACTCATACTTATGCTACATACAAATCATTTTACATGTTACTAAACCTCTAAAACTTTATAAAGGAAGTCATATCTTTCTTATTTTGTGTGTAGGAAGCTCTTAGCAAAGGCTTCCACAGGCTGTAAGAGGTGAAGCCTATTTATTTGAGAGTTAAGTATCTAAGCAAGGACCCTGTTAATGGGAAGGACAGGAAGCAACAGAGCTCAAAATATATGCAAGCTTTTCCCCCTTTTTGTTAAAATGTAGCTCCAGAAAAAGAAAAAGAGAGAGAGGCCAACAGAGAACGACTCTCAGTTTCTGATATTTGAAGACTCTTGTCCTGTTTCTCTTTGATATCCTCCAGGCCAAACAAATCCAGCTGTACTGTTTCATGCAAAATTTTGTTTGCAGCCCATCCCAGCTCCCTCCCCAGCTTGACTGCTTTTCTCTGGATGTGCTCCTATGGTTAATACTTTTCTTAAGATGTGGCATTCAGAAGTTGACAACAAATTTTAGTGTAGCTTGTTTAATACAGAAAAGAGCAGAATTATTTCCTGTGGTCTGAGAAATGATGCGATTGTGAATGGGACCAAGACTATACATGATTATGATTTTTTTATGCTCTAGGATTTTTTCCCCAAATTTCTTGTCCAATCCTAGTATTTCTTGGCTGAAGTCCTAAATTGGCTGACCCTGCTTAGCTTCTGATCCCAGATAAGATCAGCCAGGTGCTGCCACCTGCTGGGACTAGAGTTACATTGTCTGCAAAATTGCTAACAACTCCTCTATAGCTGCTCAGAACATTTATAAAATACTGAATAGCACAGGTTTCAGAGCAAAATGCCATTCTACTGAAGATTTCCTTCCATGTTAACATAGAATCATTAATGAGCACTCATTGAGAACACTTATTTAACCATCTCTTGATCCAGGATTTATACTTTAAATTTGTACTTTGCCATCTTGTCTATAAGACTGTCATGAAAAATCTTGTCATATGATTTCATGAACTCATGCCCATGATTTACCATAATAGTAAATCTAAATGGATTTATATATGTGTGTGATCTGGCATGATTTATTCCCAATAAATTTATCTGGCTTCTGGTAATCAGTGCATTGTTTCCTAGACGATTGCAGACAGACTGCTTAATACCATATTTTTCTGACTATAAGACGATACTTTTTTCCTAAAATCCTTACGCTAAACTTTGAAGGGCGTCTTATTCAAGGAAGTAAGCCGAGGAGAGAGCCGCGCCTGCAA